AATAAATTTCAAATTATTTGTACCAATTCTTTCCATTAACGTTCACCATCCCCTTACTAAAGGTTGCAGTCGTCAGATCAATTATAAAGCGATGCGTGCTATGCTGAAGTATATCGTTGCATAAATTGCATTTAGTTGAACCGCTTTGTCGGGGTTATAGCTTGGTTGATCTCATGTTATATCTTCAGTTGTATCTCGGGTTATATCAAGGCTATCAACGGTTATGGTTAAAGAAATTTTGAACTGATGTTGGCCTCAGTTAGTTTTGATAAAGTAGACGAAGTTGTTATCTGTCTTCTATGTGGCAGTTTCTGTTAGGTTCTCGAAACTGGAAGAATGTATAAAATCATTCGTATCTCAATCATTACACACACATCTCTATCTATCTGTCTGTAATCTATCTATCTATATATCTATCATTAGTTACCAACAACTAGTTATTGCTTATGATTGAGAAGATATTTTGTTATATACCCATGTAAACCTAGGACAGTAATACAGGGGTGCAATATGTATGATGTGGTCAAATTCCGTATTCGAAGATTCGATGATGTCATGGGAACAGAGAAACAACTAGAGTTGTTTTCTGCTCCCATGACATCTTCTCGTTCAATACAAAACATCCAAATACACTAGTATGACGTTCTATATATATATTCCTCTACAAAGTGTGGAAATCGATGTACAAACTAACATGACTGGAGTTTAATTGTGAAGTTGTTCCGTTTGTATATGTTATCAGGTTCTTTAGTCCTGACAAGTTCCCCGTTGACAGCGACAGACGGAGAACTGTTCACCCTGATCTGCAGCAGTAACACAACTGGGGGACAAGATAGACAGTGGAGCAGAGATGATACATTAGTCTTCTCCACAACACGAGGTTCCCACAGTCCCAGAGTATCCAACCCTTCCATCTTCAACTTGTATCTGTCAGGTCGGGTCAATGTGAGCTGTAATGCCACACAACACAATGTGACTCTCAGGATCAACTCCACCGTAGACAATGGATCCATGTGGCAGTGTGTGGCTAATGTCGACAGTCAGACGAGCATAATATGACGATATGTGAGGCATTGTTAACCATCATTTGTTTTTACTGATTTTCAGTTATCCCCCACAAAGTTCCCGTACTTGGGTCTCTTCTTTGAATAGGTGAATGACTATAAGTACAAATAGTTCATCAGCATCGTGGTATGAGTCACTAGTAATTAAAATCTGCAAATGTTGGTATTTTCCTATGGCGTGATGGCAATTTCCTTATCAAAAGGACGTGTTTGTCATAATTTATGAATTGTGAATTATGTGATATATGTATTTTCATAAATGCCTTTCATATTCAAATGTTATGCAAAAGTCTACATCGAGAACACATAGAAAAAGCAACATCGGTAATTATATCCCTTGTCTTTGAAATGGAAGTGTTGATGCAATAAGACAACAACATGCTGCAGATGTTACAGTGCCCCAATCATCAGTGACCACAACAACTCATTCGGCTTCAGTCGCAACACCGACAGCCACAGTTATAACCGGATCAACAAGTAATAGACGAGTGTTTATGAAAGCGACCAACAGATAAACTGTAGTGATACGTGTGGTGTTCCGCCTTTGGTAGCTGCTGACCCATAGTTCATTTTTATAATGTAGATATAGCAGAAGCCAAATTTAAACGTTAGATATCAGTATTAAACTATGTCTGTGATCTTACTGCGCTTTGTCCACTCTGTCCATTATAGTTGATGTATGTAGTATATTGAAATATTACCGATATGACTTAATCTTAACTCGCTCATGTGATACGCAACAAAGTGAAATCACAATCCAGTAGATATATTTATCCTTTTGTTAAATCTAGCGTGTCAGGCCGGGTAGAAATTTAACACCTACGAGTCGTATGCCAATATTGTGTTCTACAATGGCAACACCTCTCCAACAATGCAAGGACATTTTGTCTGAAATGAATGCTCCTCGCATTAAAAGCCAAACGCTACGTTCAAAATTGAAGTTAGGAGAGTCGATCAAAAAGTACGTAGCCTAACTACATTCTCGATGTCCAGTGTTTGAAAAGCTTCCATTTCATTTTGAAGGAATCGTTAGCAAAGCCATATCCAAATTTCACATGTGTGAGTAATGTGGTGAACCAGATATTTGTCATCACAACGCATTGGGGTATAATATTTCTAACAAAATTGCAGAAAATGAAAAACGATTTGTCTTTTGGTACCTCTTGGATAAGGGTATGCCCTCAGATAATGTATAAAATATGCTCAGTATAGTATTGGATGACTTCCAGTCATGATCAACAGTCAAAGATTTGGATTGCCTCATTTACATTTAGTCGGGGGCTATTTTTTAAGGACAACCCCATTTTAATCTTTCAAAAACATTGTTTCCAGATATTCAAGCTGGTACTGTTTACAATATATTGTGAGCTGACACTTGTGTGACCATTTAGTGTTTAGTTTGAACCATTGGCATCATGTATGCATACGTGAAAACATTAGAATCAGCTATGCCCTTATCATTACGTCATCTGAAAAGGGGGTTGGGGTTGGGTAGTGTCTCCAAAACAAGCTCTTTCAGTCAACATGAAGGGGGGAGTCACTTTAACAAGCGATTGTAATTTCAAATTGCTTTTTCAAGAACTTTAATATCTAAGTGTGATTCTAGGGGACTTCTATCAATCTCAAACACATAAAATATTTCTTGCATATTTTGTTTCCTGAAGTTTTTGATGCATTTATTGTAGATTTTCCGTTTTTGAGGGTACTAAGAGGCAAGGTCAAACCAAATGGGGATCGTGAGACTGGAACATAACAAACCAACTTTGCTTGAGCTTGACAGATAATATGTAGAAAAATAAAACATAAACAAACTGCATTTGTATCGTTTTCTTGGTGATTCTACATACTTTTTGATCGCCCCTCGTAAATCTATAGATAACCTAGCTCTACACTGAATGCACGGGACGTCTATCTATTATCTCCTTTCAGTGTTACTAAATCCATCTGGTATGTCATTAATATATACACGTACAATTGTCCCAGTATTTTGTTAATCTAACTTCAATAAAGCTGCCAAGTACGTTTATAGGTACAAGATTTAAAGTGATAACATTTCTGTAAACAAACGCCTTTGTACATTTAGCACTTATTGCTCCTTTTCTTTTATTTCAGAAATGTAATGACAATCAATTGTACATACAAAGAAAGACATTTTGCAGTAACATTTGCTACAGTGTTCAATAGTTTGTTTTCATTGCCTTTTCATTTTTGTTATAAAATGCACAAAGAGGGAACAAAGTCGTCAGTGTAATTCATTGTTCACCCGCTTTCGAGCATGTTTTTTTACGTGACCATTAGCTATATAAATCCAACATTTTTATCTGCTTTCAGTTAAAATGTTAGGTCATCATATACTTACAACATGCATGGAAGTTGCAGAAGTATGTAGTACCAATTCTAGCATGATTTCTGAAAGTACTGGATTGTGATTGGTTAATTAAGTCACTCTGAGGTATATAATTACGTTATATACCACTGATTTTCCAACACAGTATGTATTTTGTTAACATTTTAATAACGCGGTTATTGAAGAATGGAAATAAACATATTAGCGTTAAGGCTTTAAATCAAATTAAGAGCTATTATAATTTTGTTATATACGTTTTTTCCAACACAGTATGTTTATGTCCGAATTAGTCCATGTCCCTTGTGACAGACAACGGTTGTGGCTGAGATTAGTAACAATAATGTGATAAAACGGACATTAATGCTGCTTCAGATGTTAATGTGTCAGAGACGCCTACTTCCCCAATGTCGAAGCATCCTACTACAATATCAACCACCAACAACAACAACACCACAGGAAACCCAGTAACAACGCCTGGTTACACAGCTGGTGAGTCAGCAGGTAATTCACACAAGCAATCTTCACCGTTAAATCCCCAACAAGGTGTAATTACCTAAAACACATCACCTGATAACGTAGTAAATCCCTTAACACTACAATTACTAAGATGGGAACATATTTCTATAGACGAATGCCATATTTCAGTTAACATTATTTCATTTGTTACTTGTGCTAGACACTATAGTATACATCTTATCGAGTGAAGTCTGAAAGGCATATTTTCAAGAGTTGAGACAAAACGTTCGAAAAAGTATGTTTAGCTTTCACGAGGCAAGATATAGATCGTATTTGACAAACGGCATGGAACAGACTACGTATTATACAAAGAAATAGACTATGCATTATATGAATTGTGACGCCAAAATGTTCCTTTAGGAAAATTTGCAATAAATGTTATCAACGTGTGTACACTATAGTTCCTCGTTCAAGCTTTATCAACGTGTGTACAATATAGTTCCTCGTTCAAGCTTTAGCAACGTGTGTACATTATAGTTCCTCGTTCAAGCTTTAGCAAGTGAAAGACACACAACACGCAGAATTATGTTTTAAAGTTTTGGAAGGACACGGAACTGTACACACAAGTATTGAGTGATAATCTGTCAAAGTCGTTGCGCCAACGTAAATACATTAATACATGTGAACAACACTGCGGCAATCACTACAATGATCAGTTGTTTATTCATTCATTCATTCATATACTCAGTTTTTCTGAATAATACTGTAAACGTTGGCGCACACTGGTGTAATACCCACTTTTTATCAGAGAACACTTCCCGTAAGAAAGTTGTGAAAGCCGTAGCGGAACAGACAATTTGTGCACTTGGGACTTAAATGTGCCCAGTTTACTGCTTGGTGTCAAATATACCTTACCACAGGTATAATATCAATAAGTCAATAGTACCATGAAACGTTATCACCCAGTCTTTCATACGTCCAGGCCATCCTACTACAATATCAACCACCACCAACAACAACACCAAAGGAAACCCAATAACAACGTCTGGTTACACAGCTGGTGAGTCCAACACCATTGCCATCGCCGCTGGAGCAGCCGGAGGAGGTGTTGCTGTCATCGCTGTTGTCATCTTCGCAGCCTATTTGTATCAGAAAAAGACGTCGCTCTCTTGAAGGTAATGCTTGGGATAATGTCCGAGTTATAACAACTCATGACGCTGTGAGGCCAATTTAAATCATTCATGATGAAGTGTTATCTAACTGTGTCATCGTTGAAAGGTTGTCCTCCCACATGGAGCTGACAAGCAGTTACATCTGAATTATCATTAAAAACAAATCACGAGTCAGTCGGCCACCAACTAATATTTGTATTCTTCTTCCAGAAGATGTGAGGGATAAAAGTCGACGGGATAGAAACCCTTCCAAAAGGTGCGTCTGTGTCTGTAACACTCATAATAATAGCCATTTCCTTTAACCGTTCCTCTTGAAATCTCAGGTTTGAGGCTAACTTGTCCCAGTGTATGTCCATAAGATCGGGAAAGAGAAGATTTCCACTGTGAATTAGATCCACATTCAAATAGCAGATGTGACTGCAACAGAGCAGATGAGGCTATATATATATTGAGGGAAATAAATGAGGGAACATCACTTCATGGCAGTGCTGCCTCATTCATGGTAAAGAAGGTATTTAACCTGTTTATGTTTACAGATGTTGAGTATGGCCATTAGTGTATTTTCCCGCCACGAGACCATTTTAATGCTATTTTGGCTGTTGATTTTAGTGCTGAGATGCTGATTGAAAGTGGAGTAACTGAAGGGGACGAAAAAGGCAAGTTACTGAACCTTTGTCCTAATGATGGAGACATTTATGTAGCATTGAAATATTGTGAATGCATTATTAACTTCATGCACATCAACATATTCAAAAACTTATTATCAAGTGTGGCATTTACAAAACCTCCATATCTGTAATAGTGATACAATGTTATTTTTATTTGACATGTGAATAAATCTGGGGACATTTTATTTTATGCATATTTCAGTCATGATGGACAACATAATATACACCAGTTCGTCTGACGTAGTGCCGGCTGAATACAGTATACATAATCACGATCAAGCCGATAAAGGTAACGAAAATGTAACAGAATATGTGCTTATAATACCCCTTTACATGCGCTTGTCTTCCTGATTGGAACTTCTGTCTCAAAAGTTTATCACAAACATATTATTTGTAGATAACAGAGCGTTTCCCTTGTAAATTCAACACACATGAAATGTTTCAATTTGCATATGGAACGGTCATTGTTCCTGTCATACATAACTGCTTAGCTTAATATCCCCTTTGTTTCGAAGTTCCAATAATGTCTAGGTTTCTAAGCAGTATACTCCGTTAATTGTTGACTAGGGGGTGGTGATGAAAGGATGCGGATACATATAAATTTATTCACTACGTTCATATTTCAGTCATGCAGGACAATATTTTGTACACCAGTTCATCGGATATAGAACCGGCTGATAACAGTATTGAGGATCAGAATCATGTTGGGAAAGGTAACAATTACGCAATTTCTGTGGATTCCAGTTGGAGTCACTTGTCTGATAAAGGAGTAAGAATGCTAACTATGGTGTGATCCTATTAAATTAACGTCAAATGAAATTTCACATAACTGCATGAATCTCTCAACAATTTACAAGATCCAATAGTCTTCACGATTTAAAAGTGTTATCAAAGGCATCAGTTTTAGCACACACAATCTACTTCCACAAGATCCAACACGTACGAATGTGTATAAGTTTATATTCATGTGTGTGTGTTCGTTCTCGCGCGGGTGTAATTTGCCTATGAGACCTTACTTCACCAAAGTGCATTGCCAAGGAACAACTACCAAACTCACTGTGAGCTCCTCTGCATGAATGATACTGTATCAGGTAGATGTTGCTGCTGTTGGCAGATGTCTACAGCAAGGTGAAGAAGGTGAAGACGAATGCAGACCAACATGAAGTTACTGACGTGTACGCAAAACCGCACAAAGGACGGCAGGAAACACCAAATGGAGGTAAGTGTGCCAGATGCTGTTGGTAGTTCGAAGAGAAATCTGTAAAAGTGTAGGAGTGTGACTCATGCTTTCATCAACTATCAGCTTAACAGTCAAATGGCTGAACTTGTACAAGAAACCAAACAAATGTCTGGCGCCAGTCTGTAAATAATGGTGTCTGGAAGAGAGAGTCGAGTGATCAACAGCACGAGCATCTCTCTACGTAACTGGGATACGATGGCAATTGTTAACCGAGTCAGCGAGTCTGACCACCCGATAACGTAGTCGCATGGTTTGCTGAAGACCGGTTCTAGCCCGTATCTGCACTGGCCCAAACAAAGGAGATGAGGAAGAATCCAATACAGATATGTATTTTTCGTTTGTAAAGCAGATAGGACGAAAACTCTGTAAATACGCATGAGAGTGACGAAAGCACGAGTATGCTTCCTTGTATGGACAAATGGCTGAACAAAAAAACATTACATCTAGCCAGGCGCAACTTGCAAGTTCTATCGCAAACGTGTTTATCTGAAACGTTATAACGTAATGTTGATCGTGTTTGATTAATTGATTTCATACATCATCTGGAACGAACTGTCATAATCATCATGTAGTTAGACAGAAGTAGTCATGTTGTCAAAGTTCAGTTCTATAGTCACAGAACCCGAGATCATCCACGTAGATGTTCCTGGATTGACGAGGATGATATCTATTTTTTCTGGAGTAAATACGACAACAAGTCATTCGTATTGTTAGGAGGAAGAATATTGATGTATTAATAAGTGTCATATTATCTTTGAAGATGTGTTTGCCAAAGTGAATAAGGTAAAGAGCAGAGAAGGAACAAGTGAGAATATTGAAGACATGTACGCCAAACCACAGAAAGGCAAACGGAATCTGAAGAGCAATGCAGGTATGATCGTTTTGGTATTTGTTGTAGGTGTAATGAGTGAAAGAAATAGTGTAGAACTGACCGTATGCCCAGCAGTCAACTCTGACACCAACTCCTGAATGCATATACAACCAACTTTCTCTTAAATCCGCATGATGCATTCTGTGATGACATTCAGCAATAATGCCACAGTCAATATTTCTTTCAGATGCTGAATGATGTTCCATGAAATAAGTCTTCTGAGACATGCTAAATGAATATCGGTGCTCGTGCTCCACGCTATTGCCATGATGCCCTCAACAACCCAGTGAACAATTTCACGCTGTCACAATGTTCTGCTTTCGTTGTTACAACGTTATTCTGTATACTCCAATTTACGTTGCCACAACGCTGTGGTCTGACGTTGTGATAAAGTGTATTGAGGTATTGGATGCTAGTGTATTTGACGTTGTCTATTAAAACGTTCTGCATAACGTTAATGGTTGAATAGCTTTCCCAGTAGCGAACAGTACATCAGAAACAAAGCAGAAATTCACTTCAATGTTTATTCGTCATCTTGGAAGTTGTATTCTGAAGGTGTAGCTGAATAGCGAAAAAGGAATCCCAAATTGAAACGTTTTACAGAAAACTCCATGGCACCACATTATAAGAAACGTTATTATAGCGTTGTGAGGAGCCCAAAGTATAACGTTTCCTCAACGTAAATTTGCAACGTTGTTATTACGCTGTGACATAACTTTATAAAACGACGTAATACTAACGTAGTGACAACGTTGTGTCATGACCTTACCAATCTACAACCTTCCCACAACGTTGTGAAAATGCTGTGTGTTACCTGGGAATTCCTTATTCATATTATTCCAATTAAAAAAATACATGCAAAATGATTTATGTTTATTAATGCTTCAACAACGTCGTATTTAATAGGGGCAATATTTTCCGAGACCAAGTAATAAAATATATGCTTGATGCCTTTGCAATTGCGCTATACGTATGTGTACATTGTACCGCTTTTGCCTCATGGATCGCAGAATACCATGGGCGTAGAGCTTAAAATATACTCCTCAGAAAAGATGTAAGCAACAAGTATATTCAGTATAATATTATTATCACCAAAAATTAAGTAACAAGTATTATCAGTGTAATATCTTTATCAATCTCGATTGAGACTTTTGCCGACACGTTACTGAAAGGTAAATATTTAAAGAATACATAACCTTTAGTGACTGTCAAATTGATTTATCTGATAACATTGACAACATCACCCGAACATAACCACCCTCAGAAACAACATGCAAAATGTGTGGCATGAATGTGCTCCACTCTTCACACATTCACCCTGATCGGTGGAAACCTACCTGTAATCATTTCTCTGGCACAACAAGCGGGTCCTCACTTTATTTTTATGGATGATAATGCCCATCCATGGATGATAATGGCTGAGAAAGAGTTGTTAACGATGTTGTTTAGATCAACATCACACATATGGACTGGCCTGTAAGGCCACTTGATCTTAATCCCATTGAACATGCTTGGGACATTATTGGAAGTCTTGTTTACGGTCTCCATGTTCGTCCCAGACTCTGGATGACATTGAGAGAATGGCAGATCATTCCACAACAGCAACTTTAAAGGCTCATTTGGTCAATGCAAAGATGTGTGTGTAAGCTTGCATTTGTGCTCATGGTCGTCATACGCGTTACTGAACACTGCTTCACTGTCCAGAACTGACTTGAACCTTAATGTTACGTTTTGATCCATCACTGCAGTACATTTTGCACGACTGTTTCACGGGTACATGCTTTTGGTGATTTGTAAGGCTATTATTGCTCAATACCATTTCATTTCATTTTGTTAAGCATGTGTACATATGTTTCACCTTTCGGTTGTGACGTCATTCCATGACTTGCAATTTCAACAAATTAAAATATAATGAGATTCAAACATTGTGTTGCTTTAATTTGTGTGAGAAGTATACATATCTATAAGGAGTGATATTATCACACGACGTGCTTCTTTTCTCCGTTTTTGCTGCTCCTCTTGGAAGTATATGCTTTGTGACAAAATGGGGTACACCCGCGTGATATATATTTCATAAACGAATGTCCCCTATTCAATTATCACATCTGCACTGGTAGTGGTTTTCCAAAAACTAGCTGTATGTATATATACTGTTGTGCGTCGACAGGGACTATTTCACACAGTAAAATAGTTCTAAACTGTTTTCAGTGTTTGTTCTGTATTTAACGAATACATCAATCTTGATTATCTGCTCAGTGCAACATAGATCGATGCTGATGATATCAATCACTGATTCTCTAGTCGAGAGTCTATGATGTATAACCTGTCGGCAAAAAGCTGAGCGATTGCTTAGTTTACAAAAAAAAACACAAAAACCAATGGGGAAGTATCCACAACTTCATAACACGTTTTAGCATCTTGACACTTGTCTTCTGGTCGTCCCTTTCTTACATGTTCTCACAACGTACTCTGCATCATCTGACAGAAAATATATAGATATCCATGGTGATCTCAGCTGATGTTGGAAAACAACGCAGCGGCCGCAACTTCTATTTTTGAAACAAGGAAGCAACAACAAATCCCAAAAAGTAGAACACCCGTCAATACTGGAATATTTCAGACTTGAACAACACGCAGTCAAACAAAGAGCAACACAAGGCAAGGTATATTACAAGTCACACTAACACAAACATCGACAGTGCACTGGACTAATGCTTAGTTTGTAATATATATGTAATTCCGATACAAATAAATTACTCCATTTAAATTAAAAAAGTGTCGCACTGAACTCATAGATTCCTAAAATTGAGGACATGTAGACTTGATTCATATAGAATTTTGCATTTTGCTGGTGGAAGGTAAAACAAGTGCTTCTGTGTAGGAACAGTGAGACAGACTAACAGCTCACATGTTGATAGGAGTCCTCTATCACTTAACATGCAACTTATCGCTAGCTAACTATCCAAAGCTTGCGTCATAATCTATTACAACGGCCTACTGACAACATAATGACTTAGTGTAGGTGACATAACTTCCTTGTTATATGTGTTCAGATAATGCAGAAGAAATCACGCTCAACTATCAGGGTTTTCCACATTAAGTGTTACGCCCGTTGGACACACTTCCTGGTCCGTGTTAATGTTTGCTTTAACACACGATCTACAATAGGATTTACTTCCTGGTATCACTAGACTATAGTCCGTTTGTTTCAAAAGCGGACCGATGATTTGCAATCTATCTCGAAAACTATCAAATATATAATACCCAATGAAACACTGATAATAATCTAAACATCAGACTAAGTTTTTCTTAGAATTTATGTCATGAAAATAAAAACATTGTATAACAAACTAGATTGCGATTCATCGGTCCGCGTTTGAGGCAAACAGACTATAATGCACCTACAATTGTTGGACACGTGAGTCAATGGTTTGTTTTAATGCCGCTTTGGTCAGTATTTGTTACAAATATCTATCATTGTGAAGCAACACAACTAGTGATAAAATTTTAACATAAATTTTATTACACGAAATGCCCATCCCTGCTATATTACACGCAGCATAGTTGTCTCCTATACATCCTTATAATATTAATATACAACATGCACAATGCAATATAATAACAATCTAGGAAAAGAGTGAACAGAGCACGTTGGCGCTTCACATGACAACTATTTTAACACATATCTGTCATTGTGAAGCAACACAACAAATGATACAATTTTAACATAAATTTTATTGCACGAAATGCCCAACTACTGAGTGCAAAGAATATAATAAAATACACTGGAAAAGCTTGTAATAAAAAACACAGAAATATAACTCTCAACACTTAAATCCTCATGATGGCCAAGGGGAGATAACAAGTAACCTACTCCTGTGAAGCTCACATAAAATATAGCATAGTGATTCACAATAACATGAAGGTAGTCAAATCATGAGCACGTATAAACATGACTCAAGGTATACACAACGCTTATAATCTCAACATATTAATCTGTATAACATTAACCATGTTTAACAGTAACATGTCCCTCCCAAAACATTAGAAGGTAAACTAAGATAAAACATCAGTGACCACACCCTGTGATACCATGGTATGGACGTAATGTTGATATATTGTATGACCAGAAATTATTGAGAATTTTAGGAATATGTTTACTTGGATTCCTAGTATAAACAACCTTGACCAGCTATCAAGTGCTTGGTTTCATTCAAGAGAGACAACTAAGTTAATCCTTTTTCATTAGTTTGTGAAGAGTTATCCCCTTTGTTTACTTTGTAATATACAGCCCTAATTATCTTTTTTTCTCACATTTGGCCTCGGGTTAATTCCAGTGTTGTTTACATTTTGACGAGTTTTCCCTGTCGGTATATAGGCAGTGAGTTTCATTGCATTTATCCTCAGTCTTTGGATTGTGAGACGTAATACCGTTTGAATAACATTCAAAAACTACTCGATGTTGTGTACAATCTAATCCATATCCTTTTTACCTGATAGAACTTATATTTAACTGTCGTTTCGTCAGAGTTATGCTTCGGAATATTATCCATGGAGGCGGCCATATTTGATGACGACATCATGAGTTTATGTGTACACAGTTCGTTGACAAATTTACTTTTGCAAATTCTGTATTTTAAGCGTCAAAAGACATTTCCATAATTTTAATGAATCCAGTGACACTCTACAATTATAATTCTGCACCAATAATAAATTAATATCTTTTGCTCGTTGATTGTAAACAAATTACGTCATGAGGATTGTGGCGTAGTTCTTGGTCAGTTGACAGTTGACAGTTCTAGACTGATTGTGGTGGATGCGAGTCGCTGTTTTTCCGTATATATTTTCACCGGTATCTACCGAGAACAATATTTTTGTAAGCATACTACGTCCAAGCTTTGCTTAAGACAAAACTTACTTTTAGAGAAGTTTGTTCTGGTTTGTATAAATTTTGACATTACTGACTTTGATAAATTTATATGTAATAAATTCTTGTTCACTGTTTCAACTTCATGTTGTCAAGTTGGTAAAACTGTAAAAAGTGAGAGTGGTCCACAGAACCGACATGCTACTTAAATGAAATTTATTTTTCTCAATTTTACCCCCATTGAACCGTTACAACTTGCTAGCAGACGACATTTTCAGTGATCCTCAGTATGGATGATTTAGAGAAGAGGAAGTTGATTTTTAGAGTATTATAACAAGGACATCCGATCAGCTAAAAGTGATCTATAACAGAACAGGCACTTTGTCCACTGTTTATCAGTTTTGAAAAATATTACAAATGGATATGGCACTGAGCACCAGGGGGCAGGTCACTGAGAAAATTGACTGTCATGACAGGAGGCAGCTTGATATTCTTGTTTCTAAATACAAACGAAGGAGTTTAGAAAACTTAAGGCTGCATATGATTGATAGAGGAACTGTGGCTGGCTATCAGGTGACAATTAGAACTGAGCTGCATGCAATGGGTTACAGAAAAGTAGGAATACCATCACCGATCATGTAACTGCACAAAAGGAGCGAAGGTTGAATGCTTACAGATTTTAACTGGGACAATGTGATTCTTTATAGATGAAAGTTCTGTGTGGCTGTTTCCTAATACACTGAAATTCTGGACAAAACAAACTGAAAAACCTTTGTACCAGCGCCCAAAGTACAGTCCGAAAGTTAACGTATTGGGTGGCATATTTGTGTTAGGGGCAACGCCCCTCTGTGTATTTGAAGGAAATATGAACAGTGAGCGGTACACAGATATTCTCGAGGGACATTTATTTCAATCTGCTAACGTGTTCTATGGACATTTTTGTATTTTCCAGCAGGACAACGACCCAAAACATCGTTCAAAGCATTCACAGGCCTGGTTTCGGACCCAAAATATGACATTATTAGCTATAGCCCTGACCCAATTCCAATAGAAAATGTTTGGAGACTTCTGAAGGAAAGTGTCAATAAGAAAAAACTGACAAATATTGCTGAAATGAAAGAAGAGGTGGTCCGATATTGGGACCACGACTTTCTAACTTCTTTGATCAGTAGTATGCCCCGCCGCATTGAAGGCTGCATTGCTGCCCATGGTGACTTGACAAAATACTAACTGTTC